CCCCCCCCCCCGCCGGCACGCACACACACGCGCGCATGTGGAACAAAGGTGCTGTTCTTTTTTTTTTTAACTTTTTTCTTTTTTGATTGATTGATTGGTTGGTTGGTATTCGGGGGGTCGCCCCCCACCACCACCCCCAAGGCGCACACACGCACACACGCACACACGCATGCGGATGGCAGGGGGGTCCCTGCTAGAGGATCCCCGATAACCGCCACTGCGCGCGTAGATATTGGGCCTCGCTCACCAAATGTGCAAAAATGAGAATCAATCTTCCGCTAGAATGTGGATGTGTACGACGCCATATTTTTTGTCTTTTGTGCGTGTGGTGAGTACTGGAGCAAGGCCTACCAATATGGTGGTGCATCTTTCTATTTTCTAGCGAGAGATTCATTCTCATTTTGCACATTCGGTGAGCACTGGAGCAAGGCCAGTTTGTTGAACACATCCATAGTCGTCTTTTCCTTTTTCGTTTTGTCTTTTGCTTATTTTTTATGTTTCAGGGATATCTGCCCCTGACTTCTGGAATTCGTTCCAAATCTTACACCCCCCCAAGGCGGGCTCACCCCGTAACTTAAAAAAAGAAAAAAGGAATAAGAAACCAACAACCGGCAGGAAATGCACAGTGCCCCACAGGTGGGAAGTGTGTGACTACGACTGCCCACGACACAAGGACGAGGCTATGCGCCGCCTAGAAAATGCATATCTCCGAGAATTGTTTGATGTCCGGGGCAGTGGTGGTTTAAGCTACTGGCAAATGCTCAGTCTTTGCATTAGTCGGACCGTAACTGACGGCCCCAACCCTTCACCCTTAAACCGCCCGTACCTCGCCCAGTTTACGACTGCTGGAAGGCACTTTGACTTTTGGGGGTGCAGGACACAACACAGGCAGTTGGAGTTCAAGCACGGCAGTGAAGAAATAACTGGGAGAGGTACGGATGTTTTTTTTCAAACCACTAAAAGAAGGAAAAATCAGATCGTTGTTTTTACCTTTTTTTGTTTTTGACTATAACGCCCCTTCGAATGTAACCCCCGGCCGGGCGTTATATTTGAATAGAATGTGCGGGCGTTATATTTGAATTGCCATCGGCGGAGTATCTTGTAGAGGGAGTATACATGGCCCTGAAGGGGGGGTTAAAAGGGGTATAAATGGGTTTTGAAGGGGGTTGAAAGGGGGTTTGACTTGTAAGGGGTATTTTTGGTTTTGATTTTTTTTTTTTTTTTTTTTTTTTTTTTTTTTTTTTTTTTTTTTTTTTTTTTTTTTTTTTAGAGTTGGTAAGGAATTCTCAAGTGACCTTCCGCCAAAAGTTGGTTGCATTGCAACAAGATATGGTTTTTACAGAACGTTTTGAGTTTTTCTTTCTTTCTTTCTTTTTTCTTTGAACCCGCGCAAAGTTGCCACCGAAGTTATTGTCAGGTGAAGACGAGTGGCAAGAGTCATCATGCAATATCCCCTCACTGTGAGAGGTCGCTATGGTTGCAGGGGTTCCCCCTATATAGCCTTAGGATTAGGTAGGTAGTGGAAGGCGGAAGAATTTGAGAGAAGAATATAGTGTAGCAGCTGTAGCCAAAAAAGAAAAAGACAAAGAAAAGGGAAAATGTGCAAAATGCCCCTGAAGCGAGTTTATTTGCGGTTTGCCCCTCTGATGGGCGACTTACCCTGATTTGCCCGTCTGACAACGGTTCAAGTTTCCAGAAAACCCCTGCTGTCATTTGGGCCTCAAATATGTTCAATGTGCCCCTACCAGTACGGCTGCCAAATTTCCAGTATGCCCCTACCGGATGGCCCTTTGAGTACCTGCACTAGAATTTCCCATATGCCCCGACCGGTACCATGAATCTCTTTTCAGTATGCCCCCATGGCCGTTGTTGGCAGTGGCAGCCAGTTGAGAGAGAGAGAGAGAGAGAGAGAGAGAGAGAGAGAGAGAGAGAGAGAGAGAGAGAGAGAGAGAGAGAGTGGAATATAAGTATGAGAGTTGTCAAGGTGGAGGAAAAGGAGGCGGAAGAGGGGGAAAAGAAAAGCAACGAGGCCATACTCAAACGTGAATGCGCTTGCAGTAGAAGGGCAACGAGAAAAAGATTGGAGGACCAGGCCATAATCAGACGTGAATCCGCTCGCGGCAGAAAAGTGAAAAAAAACAAGAGAGAGAGAGAGAGAGAGAGAGAGAGAGAGAGAGAGAGAGAGAGAGAGAGAGAGAGAGAGAGTGAAGAAGTGGTGGAACGCAGACCTTAGGGAACAAACTCCAAGGACGTCCAAGGTGACGTGTCGCAGCAGAAGAGGAATGAACTCCACAGCGGTGGAGTGGAGGTGCAGGGGCGACATGGTGTGCGGCGTTGCTTTTTTTCCGGCGGCGTGGAAAACTTCGGAGTTTGGATTTGAGTTATTGCTGCCTCCCTGTTGAATGGCATCTCAGAAAGATGCATGCCCTGCAGGAGGGCAAATCGGACTGGCACCATGGGAAATAGGACAGCCAGTCTGGCAGGGGCGTTCCGGGAAATTCGGCCCCTCACTGACAGGGGCCTGCACGAAAGTTGAGAGGCCACAGGGGTAAATCAGGGATGTCTGCCGTCCGAGGGCAAATTGCAAATGAACGGAAATTACAGGGGCATATTGAAACATTTCCCCCCGAAAAAGGAGTCCTTGTTAATTCAAATTTAGAGAAATAAAATAGTCCTTCGGGACATTTGTTAAAATTGGAACCACTACAGAGTATATTTTTTACCGTGGCCCCTGCACATGAGGGAAAAAAAAATAAATCAAACCAAGGCACACACCTTTGGAGCTACAACCCTTTCCCTTGCCCCCCCTTTACAAGGCATTTAGCCATGCCACATTCTGTATTCGAATATAAGGCCCTGGGTGTTCCATTTGCCCGGGCGTCATACGGGGAGGGGCGTTAAATTAGCGCAATTAAACGCCACTAGCACTGCAGTGGGCGTGTGTTAAAAAAAAAAAAAAAAAGAAAAAAAAAAAGAAAAAAAAAGTAATTAAACCATCAGTACTTGGCCCAGCTATTGATGCGAAGCCCAGAATGTTTAGGGGCTCAGCCTACGGGAGCAAAATGGCGGGCAGGGACTATCGAAAGGGGTCTTGTACGGGTTCATTTTTTTTTTTCCAGCATGTGGGACGTTATTGGGGTTGGGCAGGGAAGGGTAAAAAAATACTGCTGTACCACCACCACCTCATTTGCCAGCTATTTTTTTGAATTGTGGTGTGCATGCTGCCGCAACTTTCCGGTCTCGGCCACTGGAGGAAAGTGGCTGGAGGCGCAAGCCAAAACGAGGCCCGTGGAAGTAGTGGTGGCACCCTTCTGCCAAACCAAACTTTTGCCTCTGTGGAGGAGGCCATGCTTTTG